CCAGAGTACCCTAGAAAGAAAATAAAGCAATCTCAGAAATTTTTTGTAATTTGTAAGGTCACCCTATTCACACACAGTAGCAATTAAATACCATCCAGCTATCTACTAAAGAAGGAAAGGATGAGAAAAAACTTACATTGCCCAGTGATGTGGAATTTACACTGGTTGGCAAATAACAACATATTTAGTAAAACTATATCTATTTGGTAAAGGCTAAATTTTGTCATGAATATAGAGTTAACATTTAATGGATACTAGTTCACAAAACTAGGCTGCTTTGTGAACTGTAATTCCAGATTTTTTGTGATTCTGCCTTCTTCCAGAGATATTTTTAAAAATTATAAATCCATCTTAGACTTCTTCCCTAAACTCCAAACTCATATATCCAATTGCCTACACAGCATCCCCATGTGAGAACTGATTGATTTGTCCAAACTGAGCTCTGGGCATCTATCCTCTCCCTCAAAAACAAAAACAAAAAATTATTTCACCGTTTTTCTATCTCAATCAATGGAAACTTCTGTTTGCTCAGATCAAGAGTCTTAGAGTTATTATGAATCTGCTCTTTCTTTCAAACCCCACATCCAAACCACCAACAGGATTAGAAGGTACCCATGGGTCAACCAATGCACACCATCCTCCCTGTTTCTTGGCCCAAGACACCACCATCTCTCACAGGGATTACTGCAGTATCATTCTACCTAGTCTCTCTGCTTCTGTCCTTGCAAAACACCTCTTTTCAGAACATTTCGATGACTTCTCACCCTACACAGAGTAAACCCTAATGTCCTTACAGTGGCCTACAAGCCATGCATGGATTGGGATCTATTACCTTTCCAGCCCCATTTCTTACACTTCCCTTAATATGCCCTCTCTAAGCACACTACCCTTGCTCCTAAAATATGCTGGGTGGGGCCCCCTGACAGGACCTTTCCACGGGCTTTTCTTGATAGGCTCTTCCCATCAGCATCCTCATGGCTAATTCCCACCTCTTCCTCAAGACCTTGTTCAAGTGTGCCCTTATCGCTGAGACCGCTGTAATGGCCCAGTCCTAAATTGCAACGACCCATGCCTTGGAAATCTTTATTCTCCTCCATGCTCTATTTTCTTTCCACTGCACGTATCACTGTGGTTGTCTTGAGAAAGTGCCTCTCAGGCATCCAAATGCAGGAACCACTGGCCAAGAACCCCCATCTGCTGTGCTCTGAAGTCCATCCCTATGTCTGCATCAAGGCCATGCTTCCTCCAGGGCTACTTCCAGTCAATGACTGAGAGCAGCAAGAATGCTAGGCTCGTCCCCGAGGGACACCAGTCCACCCTGGTAACTGACAACTGATTGGTATCATCACGTGCTTATTCACTTATTTAGTTGATGATATTGATGATTGCTACTACGTTTAAAATGTTTGTTAGTCATTCACTCTGAATATATTTATTGAGCACCTGTAGTGTGTCAGGCACTGTACTAGGTGTTTGGGATATGTGGATGAACAAAATTCCTGCTCTCCTGGAACTTAGTCTCTAGCAGGCAATAAAAGGTAAATATAATAAGGAAATAAATTATAGTAGATGGCAGGGCATGGTGACTCATGCCTGTCATCCCAGCACTTTGGGAAGCTGAGACAGGATTGCTCAAGGCCAGGAGTTCAAGACTAGCCTGGGCAACAAAGTGAGACCCATTCTCTACAAAAAAAAAAAAAACTGAAAAATTAGTAGGGCATGGTGGTACATGCCTGTAGTCCCAACTCCTTAGAAAACTGAGGCAGGAGGATCACTTGAGCCCAGGAGTTCAAGGCTACGGTGACCCATGATAGTGCTAGTGCACTCCAGCCTGGCAACAGAGTGAGACTGTTTCAAAATATATAGCAGGTGAGGAGGTGATTCTGGTTCTGGATCCTCCAAGAAGCAAATGCCAAAATGACTTAAAAGTGCAAGATTTTATCAAGAGAAACGACCATATGAGAGAGAGTGGGGGCGGGGGGTAGGCAGAAAAAGCCAGGACAACTGGGAGACCTGAGTGAAGGAGAGAGGGAGAAGCAGCTGTGTGGAAACAGCTATGTCTGTAGTGCAGTCCAGAGGGATCGCCAGGCTATGAGGGTCCTGACTTCAGGGTTTCACTCCATCTCCTGGGCTGCCCCGCCTCCAGCTCTTTCTCCCTACCCACTCCCCCTACTCCCCATCATTTTCTCTCAGACAGCCATTTCTCCCAATAAAACCTTGAACATTTAACCCATCTTGGTATCTGTTTCTCGGAGGATCCAGGATAACATAATGACCTCCTCACCTAGCATATTTTGTTTACTTATTGTTTTTATCGTCTCTTGCCAACTAGAACATGAGTTCCAGGAAAGCAGGAATTTTGTTCATCCATGTATCCCAAACACCTAGCACAGTGCCTGCCACCTCACGGTGCTCAACAAATATGTTCAGAATGGACGAATAACAAATGCTTCAAAAAATATTGGCAATGACGAATATTATCAGCTAAACAAATGAACACACAATGAAGTTATCAGTCGGTTGTCACAGTTCTGCTTCCTCCTAAATTCCCTATCCTCTTATTGTTCTCGGCCTCCCCTTGGGTTTTACTACAGCAGAAATGAGATTCGAAAGGTAAATTGATTTTAGGAAAAGATCCAGACTCATAATTGGATGACTGCCCATCTGTTATGGGCAGCAAATATGCAATTCTGACTGAGATATTTAACACCACTGTTTTATTGTCATTGATTTCAGCCAGGATCTGCAAATAAACAAAATCAAAAGCTTACGGTCTGATTTCTTTTTATGTTTCAATATCCATCCAATTTGGCACACATGCAATTAATTTTCCTATTCTCTGCTAAAGATGTATGAGCAAGGACAGACTTCAGATTCTTGAAGTGGGTGGGTCTCACCTTCTAGTGACTGGCCCAGGATGGGAGTCTCTGTGCTGCAAAGCTCCACATGACAGTGTGGGGAAATCTGGTTTCACCAGGCTAGTATGTGTCTCCAGAAGAGCGTCCCACAAGGTTCCGCACCCAGCTATAGAGCTCTGGGTGCTGGGTGGAGGAGGCCGGTTTCTAACCCTTCCTTGTATAGACTGATTTCACCTTCAGGCTGTGTCCTTGGGCAGGCCTCAACAAATGGCTATGGAAAGTCAGGTCGCTAACGCTCTAACCCTGGCATTGCTACTTATCAGCTATAAGGTCAATTACCTCTCCGAGCCTGTTTTCTCATTTCTTTTTTTATTATTTTAAAGAATTGGGGAACAATTCAGGATCCGGTATACAAGTGGTCATCATGCAGGTAAAGTTTGGGCCTCTTTTTGGTACCCACTTCACCTGGTTTAAGATCAGCTACACGTATTGATGTTAGATTCCCCCCCACTCCCCACAGTGTCCTGCTACTGCCAATCCCTTTCTTATTGTATTATGGTAAATGTTCAGGGTCTGCTTACGAGTGAAAAAAATGCTCAGCCTCACTAATCATCAGGGAAATGCAAATCAAAACCGGATTGAGATACTACCTAACTCCAGTAAGAATGGCCATCATTAATAAAGCAAAAGACAGCAGATGTTGGCGAGGATGCGGAGAAAAGGGAACGCTTCTGCAATGTTGGTGAGAATGCAAACTAATTCAACCTCTATTATTCTTCATTTCTAAAATAGGGCTAGTAGCAGCCATCTTTCAGCACTTTGTGAGGTAAAGAGGACGCAACACATTATTATTATTACTGAGATCAAAAATGCAAAGGAAATTACAGTCTGTGTTCAATGTTTGGGTTGTTCTTTTAACCTCTTTGGCTGAATGCTGATATGAAGATGCTTGACAGTATTCAAACATATAATAATAAGGTAGATGCTAATTAGGGTTTACTTCATCAAAATTTAATTAAAGAACTGGTAGGAAAAGAAAACAGACCAAGTCAACTGTTCGGCGTCCCAGCCTCTGCCCTGACCTAAAGTTTCAACACGCTTACCTGCCTCTTTCTAAAGGGTGCGGGAATGTCCACACAGAGTCAGCCGCAGGAAGTTCCAGAATGTCTCATCACACTTTCAAAGGCTCACTCCTTTCTCTTGCGTAACTGCTAAGGTCAAAATGGACACCTTCCTGAAAGCCGAGAGTGTCATTCCTGAACAAGATCCAAGAAAGCACTGTGTTCCATAGAAACCATGGCTAACAATGCCAGCGGTTGGCATTTGGTGCTTACGCCACACTAAACACTCCTGGGGGGCAACTTTTTTTTTTTTTTAAATCAGGGCCTCACTCTGTCACCCAGGCTGGAGTGCAATGGCACAATCACAGCTCACCACAGCCTCAACCTCCTGGGCTCAGGTAATTCTCCTGCCTCAGCCTCCTGAGTAACTGGAACTACAAGCACCTGGCTAATGTTCAGATTTTTTGTAGAGACCAAGTCTTGGTATGTTGTCCAGGCTGGTCTTGAATTTTGGGGCTCAAGCAATCCTCCTGCCTAGGCCTCCCAAAATTCTGGGATTACAGGCACAAGCCACCGTGTCTGGCTCGAGCTTCTTAACATAGTCACGTTAACACCTTGGATTTCTCTATGACTTGCAACAAACCGCCTGGGAGAAGGGGCCTGGGGGGAAGAACAGCCAGATGCCAAGTCACCCCTCTATGAAGTCCGAATGAACTATGGAATGTTCTATAGTATCCAAAGCCAGTCGGAGGAAGGAAGGCAAGCGAGTAACTG